TTCCTCTTCACATTGGCTGCTTTGTAGAGTTCCTTTAGCTGCTTCCACACCTTTCTCTTTGAGTCAGTGTTATTTTTATCATAATGATGCACTATGTGACAGCTGGCAGGTTTTCCAGCACCCTAAGATCACATGTAGCACGTGCACATATACTTCTCTGATGTGCACACAATATATTTATTCATTCTGCCTCATTATCTACACTAATAAATGTATTCACAGTTATCAGTGAACATATTTTAACTTTGGTGAACTTTTTTTAGTGCAGGTTCAAATTTTAATTTGTCTAATTCTTTAAATTATGACCTAATCCCTTCCAAGCTAATGACATTCATTTTCTACTTTGTGTATAGTGCTAATTAGCTAATGGGCTAAAATAGACTTGTTCCATGTAAGTAAAAAAGTAGGATATTTTTGAGAGTTTTTAACTGTAAGATGACATGTTCACAACACCTACAATTTTTCCTTCACCTAAAACCACCACAGTTTTACAAAGACAGCCTATTTTCAAAGCTTTGTTGCCTTTTTGCCGCTACTCCTCCCTGTGTCACAGCTGTGTGACTGACTGCATGTTCTATCTCTGATGTCAAGTCCGTGGGGATTAAACTCCCAGGACGAGTAGCCGCTCTGTTACGAAATGCTATGCTATGCTATGTTATTCCATCAGACCAGATGAATGCAAATGACTTCAGCTGCAAATGCTCACAGAACACATTCCGCACAGAAACACACACTTCGCTGGAGAACGTAAATGACTATGCTACACACTTTAACACAACAGTATGTGCATATGCAGACTTGCACACACGCACGCTCGTGCACATTCTTAACAGGGAAGATAATGGTTTCATCCATGTGTCTGTCCATTTGCTAATGTCCCATATGTGCTTGCTTGGTTTGAATTCAGCCCATATGTCTGTCTGCATTCTTCTCAGTGAGTCACAAAGTGTATGAGCATCCCTTGTGTGTAAATGGAGCATCCCAGTTAAAGGAGAAAGCCATCCTAAAATAGAATACTTGATATAATCAGTTTGTAACAGTTATTTCATTATTTCCTGTTATTTTGTAATCAAGTGTAATGAGCTTTTTTCATGCTTTGTCAAATTCTACTCAAGTCAGTGATTTAATTTCAACAAATCCTGTGAGCATGAGCTTCATCTGAAAGGATGATTTAAATATCGTTAGGTGGCCAAGAAATTGTGTATATTGAAGCACGACTATGATAATAGGCCTACTTTTTATTTGAAACACATTATCTGCCTATACAGCTACAGGAGGGATTTAAATGTCTGTTTTTCAAATGGTATGCAGTTGTTGAACACAAGGTCATAATGGCAACTTCAGAAAAAATCCCTTATTCATTCCTTTTGGGGGATTCATGTTTACAGTTCATTTTTCTACTTCTTTCTTTTTTACTGATTTTTGTCTTTATTATGTTTTTATATCTTTTTATGTAAATAAATAATGTATATATTATTGTATATGTTGTAGGGAAGGAAAAGATACAGCTACATTCAATAATTCAAAATTCAATTTATATAACAGTGTTCAAAGTTTATCTAGCCCTTCGAGATACCAAAGTTTTCTCAGATAATAAAGGAATATTAGCATATTGTAATTTAAAAAACATGTTTTCATTGACATGCAGCAGCACTGTTTCTAATCCAGTAAAATACTTCTTTAATCTATTCTTTCTGCTTGCCATTCAAATGCCAAATGCACCAATACACATAAAATTCAAACTGTAAAAGTTGTTGTTTTTTTATCTTGATTCCTGATACCTCATCTCTGCTTACACCAGATAATTAGCTCCACACCTTGTGGCATAACCTCCAAGTAATATTGGCCTGTGCTCTGTTGAAGATCTGCCATGAAGTTTTGTAATGACTTTGAATCTGATGTTACGGTGGGTTGAAAAGGTAAACAAGACACAGATCACAAGCAAAGGTTGTACCACAAAATAAAAAGAAAAGGCTGAACACACAATTTTGGGGCAGAAAATCCCTCAGCATTTCTTCTTGAATTAAATTTTTCTCATTTTAATTGCCCACTCTGGCTCCTCTCCTCTGCAAGTGTGGAGGAATGGAAGGGTTGTCTGACAACTCTCAAAGTTGTGTTAAATTGAAGTGGACAAGCCTGAACACTCAGCGGAGGCATAAAAGATGAGAAGCTTCTTCCCCAAACTCCCTCTTCTTCTTGTCTCCTAGAGCAATGTGGGTTGACCTAGTCCTAACTGTAGAAAGCATGGGTACTGAGCACAGACACAGTATGGCAGATTCATATCAAATAACACATGGTGAATAAAGTCACACTGGTCAATTTAAAGATGGTATGTTATAGGCTACATTCTGTCAACATATTTAAAAGCAAACATCATGATTTAAAGTATTTTATAATAACTGGTAGCATATTTTTCAATTGGTTCATATCATTCATTTTGAATATTTCTCACATACTTACAGCATATGCAGTCTCAGAGGAGCGATGTAACATAAAACTTGTAGAAGTCAGTGTAAACCAGGATCAATACAAAGCACCACAGAGTCCATTTAAATCATAAAGTTCATAGCAGAAACAATCACTTGATCTGTATCTTCAAACATTGATGACCATGATATTAGTCATCATAAACTTAGACTGAAAGTTAATTTTGACGATGGAAACAGGAGTTGACAAACCTGTATCACACAAATATCCTCAGCAGACGGGGTTTCCCAATTGTCATGGGACTTTATTTGTGCACATTTAAATTGTTCTGAGCACTTCAGAGGCCTCTTGTCCATGTTGGCTTAACATTTGAGATTGAACATAATCTCTCTGGTTCATTTCATTCAAGTGGTAGTCTGAAGTTGGTTCTTTCATAATTCTCTACACTGCGCATTGACTCTAGATAATCGATCTAATGTGGTGTAAGTAGAGTAGAGAACCTCAGAGTAGTTAAGTGGTAATTAAATTTTAAAGTTGCTGTGAAATACTGCAATTTGTATGTAAAATACCCTCAGAAATTGCTATAAGTTCCTAATGCTCTTTAATTTACAGTAATACATCCACATGGAAGTTAAGCTTCAATATGATGTCTACTTCACTGGTATTCACCGATCTTAACCCACAACCTCACCATTCCTCTCACTTGCTCTACAACTATCTTCTCTCCTGCTCATTTAACGTGTGCATTGTGGCTTGTTTTATTTGCCTCAGGAAAATAAAGACCAAAAGACCTCCCCAGAGCCCCCTTTTAGTTTGCAACAGGAATAAAATTGTATTGATTTGTCCATCAATGTAACAGACTACAATAAGAAACGGGTGAAAGCCTCCACCTAAACACTGTTAACCTTATTTTCATGTGATCAATCACCACAAACAGAAGGTATCAGAATTTGTCCTATTCTGTTCTATTCTAGGCCTGCAGAGTTACAAGATGAGTGACAACAGGGCAGCAGCAGACCATAAATTAGCCTCGTCTGGAGCCTGTTCCTTTTAACACTAATAGGAGACATGGAGGTCAGGAGGGTTGGTGCTTAATGAGGAACTGTAATAGTACATGAGCAGTTCCTGAAACATATGACACTTAATCAGGGCAATAAGGACAGGAGAGGACAGGACACGACAGGGCGGGAGAAGCCCTGGGAGCAAATGACCTTTACTAACCTCAAAGGATTAACTTTCATGTGGTTTAACAGTGTGTCTCAAACTCTGTCAGAGGAATTTAAAGATCCCCTCCAGAACTGTATTACAACCTATACAGTCTGCTTGAAACAATAATGGGTATGTCATTTATTTATTTATTTTTCTGCAAAAAAATCCTCCTTAAACAAGGCTTTTACTCCATGTACCTAATTAATTAATAAATTACAGAACTATGAATATAGTTCATATACATATATATAATATGCAAATTGTGTTTATTTCTAAAGTTTTCCTGCTGGACACGAGATGTCTCCTACTTATCCTAACTCTGCTACTGAAGTCCATTCTCAGTGTATGTGCACCAGTGGCTTCAAGTTTCTATATCACACTTGTATAAATTGGATATTGGACCAGAATTCACTTTTCAAACTATTTGTCATGTCACAAATCATGCTTGTAGGCCCGCTCCTTAAATCAGAAACTTTCCACTTTCAGCAGATCAATGAGATCAAGGGGGGCTTTAATGTGTGTGTGTGTGTGTGTGTGTGTGTGTGTGTGTGTGTGTGTGTGTGTGTGTGTGTATACCTAAATACCTGAGTCCCACTCCACTTGAGTAAATATCCCTCACCATCATTCACCATGTTAATACTGATGATTAATACACATGATTTATGATGCATTCACTAAAGCTCTGTTCACTCTCAACCACGTTTCCTCCAGGGTCAGTACCTCCTAAATATTCAAGTGAGCAAAATAGTTTTCACAAGAAAAAGAGAATTTACATGGGTGCTCTCATTTGCAACCCAGTGCTTGTAACTGTAACATCGCTCACATCTGCATAGCAAAGTAAATTTTCTGGTGATGCCTGGAGTCATGTTTGACTTGTATCAGACAACACAGGGATGTCAGATATAAAAAAAAGAAAAAAGAAAAAAAGTAGGCTGCCAGAAAAATAAACTTTGGGAGAAAATGTTGTGTACACACAGAATTTAAATCAGGAACAGTGGTTCATTAAATCCCCGTGCAGTGAAAGACAATTGCAGTCAGTCCTCATGTATGATCCTAACCATGACTGTAGAGTAAGAGTCCTCTTAAGAGACCTTTCTGCTCTCTTTATATAAGGTTATGTTGGCTAATGTCTCTCACATGTGCAGCTGGGGGTATAAGAACTCATTAATCTTTTAGTCTAGTCCTCCAGTCTAGTAGTGTGAATTTAGGCCATTCCAATATGCGTATGGATGCAGTGCCATCTGGTGGTGATACACGGTATTTCACCCAAATTGTGCAATTTCTTAATTTTTACTGTCCCACCGCCAACTGTCAGCTGTTAACTGTGATACTCAGGTCATTTATTATAAATACATTATTCCCAATCAAAAGAAATACTGGTTTATTTACAAGATAAAGGGAGGATCTTTAGAACACAAGCTTACATTGCTGCGAACAAAGAAATAACAAACAAACCCCTATTTGTTGAAGTTAAAAAACAGCTATGGAATTGTGTCGTTAAATTTAATCTAGTGGACAACTAGCTGCAAAATATTAACTTTTCCCCACCATACAAGAAATATAACCACCTACAATTCTAAATGTGAAGGTAAATAAGCAGACATAATGAATACAGTTAGACACAATGGTAAATAAGTTACCAATAAAACCATGTCTGTCCAAACAACCAACACAAGTGCACAAAAAGTACACAACCCAAAATCTTCTGTCATTCACATATACTGAACATTTGCACACACAAGGATTATAAGGAAAACTTGGGGATCTTCACCATATTCTCAGTTTTAGGGACTATGTTCAAGCTGGGTGATTTCAATTTCAAAAACATCCAATTTGAAATGTCTGTCATCTCCTGTATGCAACCTAAATTATGATCACATTTGTACATTTGTACTATGACTAATTCCAGTGCAACATTCAAATTGAATTGCTGTCAAGTTGCATACCTGTAGATCTGCTATTGCACCTGATTTCAACTTAACTTAGAAAACATCTGATTGTTCACATGATCAGGGAGACAGAAATAAAAAAAACAGAACTGACATACCTTTAGCTTTAGTGTAACACACAGCCTTTGACCTCCTTATAAACAAAGGAATAGTATGGTCTATAACACTACTCCTTTTTCACCTGCCCTGCGTCCTTACTCTTGTCCCGTGGTACACGACCCATATTGTAAAATTCTAAGTTTGGCCTCATGTCTGTGAGGTGGGCGAGCCGGTTGGACATGGCAAAGAAGGCAGCAATGGCAGCAATGTCCCAGGCATCCTCACGGTCAAAGCCCACCTCCTCCAACGACTGGAAATGCTGCTCTGTAATGGTGTCGCAGCGACACACGGCCATTGCGAAGTCAAGCATGGCCCGCTCCCGAGGTGACAGATCCGCATTCTCATAGTTAACAGTGACCTGGGTGAAAACAGGGAGGGTTAGACAGAGGCGGAGATTTATGTGTGTTCTGAAATATCTGTTGCTAGTATTTGACAAACAGCAACTTCTTGTCCACTCTCATCACATACTGTATTCCAACATTTTGCATACATCCCATAATGAGATATTTGACTGAAACCACTAGTTTAACCTATGTTGTGACTACGGTGATTGTGCATTATAAAAAGCAAAAAGGAGGGAGGAAGTGAAAATCAGTTAAAGATAATACCTGATCAGAAAGAGTGGGTTTCTTGGAGTAGATGCGGTGCAGTGCACTGTGGGATACCACACAGTAAAGACACTTGTTGTGGATACTGGTAGCCACTACAATCAATTCACGATCTGCCTTGGTTAATCTGCCTGGAAGACATTAAATATTAAATTAATTAGGAATCTGAGAATCTGTGTTGACTTTAAAGTTGCAACTCAGGATCTACTTGGAAAAGAGTCTTCAAAAGTTGGACTTTGCGGAGTACAACAGCTTTCTTGACTCAAATGTTAACCACGTTTCAGATTTGAGTAGGTTCTAGTTAACCGTTTAGTCAACAAAGTTGTGCTATAAAAGGTTATATAGTGGATTAAACCTGCTTCTTGGAATAGGCCCCTGGTATTCAGTGGCCACAATAACAGAACACCACAATCCCATGCAAAAGAAGCTTATAATGTTCAGTTTAGTAGAGACAGTGTGAGAATAATTTTGATTCTCATCTTCTCATTAAGGGCTTTTTCATCAGTCGTTCCTGAAAAGCTGAATCATGATAATGGGCTACTGTGTGCATATTCCACGCCACTGGTTCTTAATTGATCTAGCCTCAGGGGGCACATTTCTCCTTAGTCAATAAGTCACGGTTCACATGTAGGCTAATTAAACATCCGTTCAAAACAAAACAAAGGGCATTTGAGGTTTAAAACCCAACAAAATAAAAGGCAGAAAAACAAAAACTCCTAATACCCAATGTGTTGTTGTAATGACTACTTCTGTTTTATTATGAGCCTTTCACTATGACAACAACATCTCACCCACTCTGTGAGCAGTGTGGCCATCTAAGCATTTTGGCAACTTTTAAGTCGAAATAAATTCGGCACAGAAAGCAACACATGCTGCTTTACGCCAACAGCCTGAATGACAGCTTGTCTATTTTGTTTCCCAAGATGATATTTACCTGCCTCAACCAGCCCTAATTTGCCACAGCTCCGAACCACAATACCTGCCACTGTTTCAGCTGAAACAAATTCCCTATCACACCTGCCTCCTCATATACCACCTGCACTCCACAAGGGGGTTTTTATGCTGCCGCTACCACTGAAATGGAAGCAACTGCAAAGCACCACCCTGAAATATGCCACTAAATCCTACACACTGGTCCTTTAACACACAGATAGGAGCTCCACATCACTTTCATTGATTAAAAAGGATATTTAGGTCAAGCTGAAACGAGCAAATAATTCAAATACAATAGTAATGATGGCAGAAATTTCACAACCCAACTTGGCCACAGACAGAGAGAGAGAGATAGAGAGAGAGACAGAGAGAGTGATTTGCTCTCCAAGCAATCTAAAAAGCCCCATTTGAAAATATTTAATTAAAGCCAAATCATTACAGAAGTGAATCGGCATCTGGGGGGTCAGCAGCAAACGATTTAGTTTACATGGTACTGAGCCTCGGATCCAATAAACTACATTTATTACATGTACTCTCATCACTAAAGGCGACAGAGGAATAACTAAAATGTAATACTTGACATACTGAGAAACAGAGAGCAGGAAAGGGAGAGAGAGAAAGCCATCACTAACTGCTAAGCTAAAATAGTGTACTTATCTGAACTGAATGGACTGGTTGCACGGCAGACATTTTGACTTGTCTAAGCCAGAAAAAAACACAGGTAACGATGGCTCAGTTCCATTAAGTGTCCTAGTAACAGTGAACCAACATGTATAATAACAGGACTACCCCTAAGTGGTATGCAGCTATGATTAATACACCTGTGAGTTTCCTGCTGTGACAAAACATCTGCTGTGCAACCAGTAAACAGTGTGTAAACAACTGTGGGAATGGAGATGAAGTCTAAAAGGACAGTCAACAATGAGAGCTTGAGCAGAACTAGAGTAAATTTAAATGTAGTGCTATAGCGGGTAATTAGCCAATGTAATGAACAGATATATAGTGTATATATATATATATTGTGTCTCAAGTAGTGGTTTGTGGACATAGAATAGGCTATATGTACTATATAAATATAGTACATACATACTACATATAGCCTTTTTTTATTTTTTTTTAAATAAAGCATAATCAAACAATTTTGACATCACTAAGCACAGCACTGATTTAGGGGCCACTGTTCTCAGGATGCCTACAATTTCCTAACCAAAACAAACATAACAACACAAACACACACCTGTCTCTTTGTTCATGAGTTCATTGTAGTAAGCGAAGAAGGCTCTGAACTCTGCAGGTCTATGAGAGAGGACTTTGAAGACATTAGGCAAAAAGCCTCCCTGTAAGGAAACATACAGTTTAACAGGTAGTTTTTAAAAAGTGTTAATGACCAGTAGAGTTAAATGGGGAATTTTTTTTTTTCTACCTTTGACTCAACTTCCTCCATGAGCTCCACTATATCATAAGGAAGGTCTTTCTTGTAAGGAATTGGGAAGCGGCTGATTTTCTCCGGTGGCGGATCGCTGGAGTAATGTCTGCCCGCCGCCGCCGCCCGAAACACGCAGCCCGACCGGAGAGACGCCTGGACGGAGGACCGGAGAGACGCCTGGACGGAGGACCGGAGAGTCACAGGCGTTATTCGGGAAAAAGCACTTAAAACAGGACAAAGTAGAAAACTATTCCGACAACTTACAAACTGTACAAACACAGGGGGTCGGAACAACTTCGTGGCGAGGTTCTGCGCCATGTCAGTGAGCTGAGGCTGGAGAGTGCAGCAGAGCAGCAGTCAGTCCGGATAGTTTCCAGTCTTTTCACAAAGATTAAGGAAGTCAGGCGGAAAGTTGTGAGGTAGCGAGTTACTGATGCTAATGTAACAGTACAGTTTAAAGTACAGTTTATTCATGAGACAGTTTTCAGTTACCTGTTATTGTTCTGCAATAAACGCTGCTTATAGGGGTTAGGCTGTCATTAATCGTAGTAATCGTGGCTGCGTTTTACCTCCTGTTGTTTTTGTTGATATGTCAGATCAGATGTTAATAGTCCAGTCACACGAACCAATCAGAGGGCAGTATTGAGTCACGCCTCGCTGTGTATGCCCACCATTGGCCGTATATGGACAGAGCTTCCGGGTCTGAAAAGTGACGCCAACGCCAAAGTGTCTTGAAACCTGTATTCTATGTAAAGGCCAGCAGGGGGAGCTCCAATTGGCTGCAGTAACACAGTGATCCTATTCACTTTAAAGCTACATGAAAAAAGTTATTATATGTGTCATAAAATAGCTGTTGAAAACTTTATTAAAGACTATGTGGTACTGAATTGTGGAGTATGGTAGTATGCCGTCAACCTCCCACAAGTGCATATGGGTAGTTTCCCCAACTTTCACCGGAGATGACTGGGATTAATGGATAATCCGTTGTTACTGGTGAACGGAGCCGACCGTCTCCCTTCCCGGACTTCATCCTTCCATCCCGCCAACACCAAGCCCGCCAACTTACTCTGTGTGCTTATGATTATATGTCCAGCATGAGTTTCATGTATAAGGTTAGCTAACGTTGGATCCGACAGAATGAGCCGACTTTAGGGTCTCTGTCGTTAGTTTAAGGTCTTCTTCCAAACATTATGATGTTCATTTAGTAAATTATGGTCCAATTAAGGGTTAATTAGACAATAAAACTGTGTATGCTACCTTATGATTGTGAGTCAGTGAGTCTGTCCACCACATATGAAACTCAGATCAAACTTTCAAACTAGGCAGTGCTGATCATATTATCAAGATTATGTTACTGCGTTGCCTATTTCTCACGTAAAATCATTTCAGAAACATATTCTAGTATACTGTTTAGCTGGAATACGAGATTGTGTGTGACCAGACGAGCCGCCTTTGTTTCCTGCTATGGACAAGTCAAAACTGCACGGCCTCCAGAGCAAAACCAGTTAAAACATTATTTGTTCATTTGTCACCAAGTTAATGAGTTAATTGGTCACTTAGTAATGTTGCAAAAATGTGTTAGATTGTATATTTAATACTTTATTGTGAAGCACCACATATTTAAATATAAAAATGGCATCTTTTTTAGTTAGTAGCTGGAATATTCGAGGACTGAACTCTTCAATTTTTGGATTGAAGACGACAAGTCCTGAATTTATAGATAGTATAAACAACATTGATCTATACATGAAACATGGAGACATGATAACACCCCTTCAAACTGCCCAAGTAACTATACTGAACTGAATCTACCCTCTTTAAAATATTCCTACATAAAAAATGGAAGAAATTATTTGGTTTAAACAAGAATATCACAATTATATATCACTAGTCAAAAGAGGGAAACCTCATGTTTGGCTAACAATGATCAAAGGCCTTCTTGGAAACAAAGATGTTTATTTATGTGTATAATTCAGAAAAATATCTTTATGAAGTCCAAAAAGAAATAGGCAGGTTTACGTACTGCTCTGTGTTGGGAAATAGTGTCATTGAATGTCCCATATCAGACCACAACCAGATCACACCCAAAACACTACAAATGGACAGAGAAAAGTCTCACTGATTACACCAATGCATTTAAGAACACTAACATCCAAAACATGCTTGACAACTTTCTATGTAACCAATACCTGGAAAACAAAGATAGCATCAGATTTGAATCATATATTTACGAAACTGGCAAAAGAGTCCAAGATTAAATTCAATCAGCATCATATATAACCAAAATAAAACACCCCATAAAAAGACAAACCAGATATAGAGTCAGTGAACACAAAGTTGCTATTGAAACTGGGCGCCATAAAAAGGATGGCTCGAAAGAACAAACTTATTCTCTGCCAATGCCAAACAGCTTTTCTTTGCTGTTGACTCCTGTTTGGTTTTGTTTGGTGGATTGGATGATTGAAGACTGAAGAAACCAAAGAAACTTTAACAATTTACTCATTTACAAACAGGAGCCTCAGTAGCGTGTGGCACCTCCTCCTCATGCTGGTCACCGCCCTGGTCAAACACTGGTGTGGGGCGGCCTCCCAACCTTCAACCAGCGTTTGTTGCAAGTCACTCTGGCACGAACAGCACGCCCAAGCTGATCCCACACGTGTTCAATGGGGTTGAGGTCAGGTAATTCCATCCTCTCCACTCTCAAATTCTGGAAGAAGTCTCTGATAAACCCCGCTCTGCGTTGTCATCCTGGAGGATAGAGTTCGGTCCCAGACTGTGGATGTATGTGGGATTTCCACTGGTTGCAGAATTTCATCTTGATATCTTTCTGCATTGAGATTGCCTCCAATGATGACAAGCCTCATTTACGGGTACCAGAAGCTCAAACCAAGAGTCAATAGCAACAGCCAAAAAAAGCTGTTTGGCATTGGCACAGAAGATTTGGCTAATTTTTCATGGGAGCAACCGACATACTCATCTCTGCTGCCCATCCCACAAATGTGGCACCATTTAAAAGGGAAATAAACAGGCTTTCCAAAGGTATAAGATGTATTGCCAAGAAGCATTGTTACAACAACAAAGAAATAATCCACCAAACACAAATTTCCTGATGTATATAGTCCTCCTAACCGCCAGGGGTCCGACTATCTGTGGAGTGAACTGACATTGTTTCCATGGTTTCCATGGGGTGTTTGTATCACTATTTTATGTGGTTTACAACAACAACAACAACAACAACAACAACAACAACAACAACTATTGATAAATGGTTTAATTTAAGATTGAGATGAATATAGTTGGGGTTAGTGTTGTCTCTCTCGCGAGACCGTAACAACAATACTCCTCGCATCAACCACGTGAGGCGGAAGTACGTAACACGATGGTTGCGAAGGAGGGAATGTTTTTTATTCGTTAAGTGAAAACCATTTTGGAAGATAATTGATCGAAACAAGAAAATTAAACGATCACGGATTGGATATTACAACAGAAATGTTTTACCATGTAAGTGTGTGTATTATTCTCTGTGTATCCGCGGACTACACGAAGGTCTGTGGACATCACGATGTGATCAGTATGACGTTAGCTAACGTGGTCAAAACTTTTCCAAACCCTCACCACACTGATTTAAGTTGTTGTTTCATATGAATGCAGAAACACTACCAGACTTTCCTTTGTTTTACCGGTCTGCGGTTAGATGCAACATGGCGGCACCAGGAGGATCACATTCATTCATTCATAATCACCATCACCTAAAACAGTGATGTATCTTTTCACCGTTGTCTTGTAATGCTCGTACTGTTTGTGTTCGCAGATTTCTTTGGAGCATGAAATCCTATTACACCCAAGGTATTTTGGCCCTAACCTCCTCAACACCGTGAAGCAGAAGCTGTTCACAGAAGTGGAGGGTACCTGCACTGGCAAGTGAGTGGCTGCAAGTCTTTATTAACTGCAGTTATTATTAGTATTTTGACTGGAAGTGAATCTACATGTATTGGGTTTGAGCATATGTTACTAAAGTACAGTGATCTTCAAGCCAATGCCAGGGGAAGAGGCAGAAATTAACAAATGGGCAGTAAACTAAGGAGCACAGGACTCAATGACTACAAACCTCCAGCATCTGGACTCCCCAGGAACCTATGCCAGGATCCTGTTTGTGGACTTCAGCTCTGCTTTCAATACCATCATCCTCTGTTACAGGACAAACTCTCCCAGCTCACTGTGCCTGACTCCACCTGCAGGTGAATCACAGACTTCCTGATAGGAAGCAGCACGTGAAGCTGGGGAAAAATGTCTCTGTCGGACCATCAGATCTCCCCAAGGCTGCGTTCATTCTCCTCTGCTCTTCCCCCTGTACACAAACAGCTGCACCTCCGGTCACCAGTCCGTCAACTAAACCGTCTGAAGTTCGCGGATGACACCTCCCTCATTGGACAGGCAAGATTGTGGCTGACCCCTCCCACCCCGGACACAAACTCTTTGAAAGCAGGAGGCTGCGGTCCATCAGGACCAAAACCTCATGCCACAAAAACACTTTCTTTCCGTGTGCAGCTGGCCTCATTAACAAGGCTCGGACCCCCCACTGACACCGACTCTGAAACCCACCCTGTATATATGCATTACATGAATGCACTCCCGTTGGTTTTTCTACTTTGCACATTGTAAATATCTTTCCTGTACAGTTTTAGATCTTTCTATCTTTATCTTACAACAATCTTAACAAATGAGTAAAAAATATTCTGGTATGATTTGCCAAAAGATTGTCTGTGCCATTTAGATTTTGAAAACTGAAGGGTGTTTCAAACTTTTTAAACCATCATGACAACATGCATAACTTTTAAAAGCTTTACATTCTGCATTTATATTCCTGCATTGAAAAGTTTCACATATACAATGTTTTTAATGTATTTATGTTTCCCCCTCAGGTACGGCTTTGTCATTGCAGTCACCACCATTGACAACATCGGAGCGGGTGTAATCCAGCCGGGAAGAGGGTTTGTCCTCTATCCAGTCAAGTACAAGGCCATTGTGTTCCGTCCATTCAAAGGGGAAGTGGTGGATGCTGTGGTCACTCAGGTTAACAAGGTGAGAGACAGTACAGTGCAGGTTTACTGGCCACTGTGCACAAAACTGTTCCTACATGATGAGGACATGTGTAATCCGACATACTGTTTCCCTCTGTGATCTCCAAAGCTTGCCGCCACCATCATCTTGCAACACTGCGCTTCTTGCTAACATTTTCTAATGTCCTAAACATGTGCATTTACTTTATAAAAATCTGTATTTTTATTATAACTAGGTTTATAACTGGTTATTGTAATGACCAAAACTCAAGTTTACATATGCTTTCTAATTAATCATGTAGTTAACAGGTAAAATAAAATCTCTACTGTTGATCTTTATTACTGTGAATGTTCCTCCGGTGAAGAGTTTATGTCTCTGTAGTGGTTGATGGGTTTTTCTCTCGTTTGTTGCAGGTTGGATTGTTCACAGAAATTGGTCCAATGTCTTGCTTCATCTCTCGCCATGTGAGTCAACTTAACATCTATAGTTGTTGACTGAACTGGTTGGTCCTAATACGCTATTCGATTTATTTAATCATTTTCTCACGATAAACTTTGTTTTTGCAGTCCATCCCCTCAGAAATGGAGTTCGATCCCAACTCGAATCCTCCTTGTTATAAGACAGTTGATGAGGTAAGAATATTCATTATTTCTAAATATCAGCCGCAAGTTAAAAAACTTTTAGTTATTACTAAAATAAATATCACGTTCAATAAAAAGAATTGGTTACTCACTTTGTCTTTGACACGTTATAAACTTAAACACATGTAGAAACCCAGGTAGTTATAGTACACCTTATATGTACACAGATTTGGTATTTGTTGTGATTTGGCATCCCCAGTTTAGAGTGCAACACTTGATCATAAATGAACACAGTTCAACAACAACACAAGGCTTAGCAAGTCAGCTAATATCACTTACTAGTCCAATAGCGTCAAGGCCAGTACCCTTCTCCGGCAGCTTCTCTCTCTTCTTCTCTTCTTCGCTTCCTCTGTCTTCCTCTTTGGTTCCTTAGCCTCTGCCGTTCGCTATGTCCATAGATGCTGCTGAGCCCTGTTAGATATCCCGCTCACCTGGTTCTGGTTCTAGCACGACGCCAGCACTGCTCTTAAACAGGGGCGGAAAGGCGTTGGTGCTCTGAGCAACCAATCACAGGCAAGCTTACTAGCTAACAGCAGCTACATTTCCCAGCAGTTACTTCACTGACCATCGGGAATCTTTGTAAATCGCAGAGTTGAAGCAGAGAAACAGGAGGAAGTTAGAAGGAAAACCAGAAAACATTTTCTCCATAAAATATGATCCAGGTTCTTCAGAATCAGTGACGTTGTCGGTGGTGTGTGACTACTGTTGGAAAACGTTGAGCACTTGTTTTCCGACCCGGAGGCAAAAGTTAGATACAGGATAAGAATAGCAAGAATAGGCGTACAGGGTGTGGAGTGGGATGCAAAGTATTATGCAAAGTAGTGGTTAATGCTCCTTTCATTTTAATGTCGCTCAATCTTGAATTTAAGGATGATGGTTTCTTCTTTTCTTGTCAAGGACATCGTAATCCAACAAGATGATGAGATCCGGCTAAAGATTGTGGGAACGAGAGTGGACAAGAATGACATCGTAAGTGTCCGGCCATATATTGCACCTCGAGATTGGCAAAAAGAAGTAGAAAAAGATGTCACCATATCTCAGATGTTACACAGTAGTTTATAGAAGTGATGTATGTTAATTTACAGTCAACCAAAAACAAGCTTTCCCCCTGTTTTTCAGTTTGCCATTGGATCTCTCATGGATGATTATCTGGGTAAGTACATTGAGAGCATTGTCATATAGGTGGTGGATCTATATTTACAGGCTATATGACAGGCTTGAATTGATAAAATTCCATGCATAGATTTTTTTTTTAATGTCAAATTATTTTGCACTATGAACTAAGTTATAATTGTTTTTGTTTTTTTCTGTTTCATGATTAGTCGTTGAACTTGCCTTCTCTACTTTTATTTCCAGGTCTTGTGAGCTGATTCGCCCCAGAGGGAATTTCACATGTAACATTTTATTTAGTAGTCTAATTATTTCCTAATTGAAGAATGTAAGATTCATTTAAGGAAAGGCTTGATAATTTTTTTTTCTTTACATGTAATAAAGTATTTTTTATTTCTAATAAATTTGAATCCTTTTCTGTGTTTTAACTGTCACGGTATGTCATTGATAGTCATTTTAAATTCATATCGATTCAGTTTTGAGATGGGACAAAGAATCGGCCTGTCGGTGCAAAACATAAAGGGACACGTGAACGCGGACATTTAAAGTGCGCGCACGTCTCGTGGCCGTAAATACGTCAGCGCGCCCTCGTTCTTCCTTTCTCTCGTCCTGAAGATGGCGGCAGGGGTGAGTAAGATGGAGAGATGACCGGTGATGGCGCTTTCTTGTAACTTTCCTGGCACAATCCGCCGAAAATCTAGCCCATCTGCACTCTTGCTGTGCAGCCTTCCCCGTAAACAATGTCTTCGGTCTGTTAGGGAGCTGTTCTCGGGGTTATTTACAAAGAATTTCATTCAGAGTCCATTGTAGCTGAGGTGAGCTATTGCTATCCTGACGTAGCATTCACAGTGAACGACGCCCCTCTCTCGGGCCAGGCTTGTGCCACGTTACCTTGGCTGTTTTCAAGCTATGGGAAATGACTTTTGTATTTAAAGGATGTTTTCGCTTAACGTCGGTGCTTGTATCCTGTTTGCGTGGTCCCGAGGCTAACTCGTATTTGACTTAATTATCTAAAAGCAGTGTAAACTAAAGACCGTCTGGTTATATTGCCGGTTATGATAGTTAGCAGTCGTTAGCATTAAAACCAAGCTAAAAAGCCACGTGAATGTGACACAATTTTTTTTTTTTGCTTGAAGTGTGTTAACACGGTTTTGTGTAGGTTGTAGTTTTATTTCACAACTTTCCAGCTTCTCCTTGTTCATATTCCAGCTTGGTGCCTTTTTAAATGGTCTAGCATCCTGATTTGAATGGAATCCATTTGTGCCAAGAACATTACAAGACAAAGTGCACCTCACTTTAACTAGACTGGTGGCTTTATTTACCAAAAAAATCCAGATATCATATTGTATTTTAAAGAAAGAAGAACTACAATACAGGGCCAGGTACCTGATTTGTTTTGTTAGTGAGATGTTGCCATTAGAACATCCTTAACTTTAAACTAACCTGCTAGCAAGAATGTGATACTTGTATGTTTAAGTTGGATTTAAGTGTGTTCTCGATTGTTCAATAATTGCTGTGTTGTCTCCCCTCTTTCCAGACTCTGTACACGTACCCAGAGAACTGGCGGGCCTTCAAGGCCCAGATTGCTGCCCAGTACAGTGGCGCTCGCCTGAAAGTGGCCAGCAGCCCCCCTGCCTTCACCTTCGGGCAGACAAACCGTACTCCTGCCTTCCTCAACAACTTCCCTCTGGGCAAGGTTAGTGCAAGTTGGTTTAATGGGATTGCTCCAGTCGGGCAGCTATGCTCGCCTGGAAGGGGCCTTTCACTTTTTTTTCACAGTAACTCTTGTTTCATTGTCAGCAGTGAAGTCATTCACTCATCACTCAGTTCCTGCAAGTACTGCATCCATTAGCCAATTATCAAATGTATTTAAGTAGAAGGGCTAAAAAAAAGAAAACAACAAACCATGCTTGGAACCGCTCGAGTCTTAATAAAAATGTGCTACATATGCTCAATTGTTCAATCTTGTCATTGTTTATAGGTACCTGCCTACCAGGGAGATGACGGCTTCTGTCTGTTTGAGAGTAATGCCATTGCTCACTTCTGTAAGTCTCACATGTACCAATTAAATGGTTAACTTAAATGTGTTGTGTGCTATCAATCTTGGTGTTTATCCAAAAAGTCTACTTATAGTTTAAAATCTGAAAGGAAGTAGAGTAAAGGCCACTAGGTTCATCAGTTTCTCCATGAACACTTTGGGGGAAAACGCATGACCCCTGTCATTTTGACAAGGCTGTGTCCATCATGGCACCAAGTCTTAATCTGACAGGGGAAGAGAAAATTGAGACCATGTTCATCCCAGTCAACTCTGTTTCAGTGAGTAAAAGGCTGGTTCATGCAATGGGCACAATTAAAAGACAGACACTAGGCTACTGAGTAGGTTACTCTTTAAGACAGAACTAGTTTACAGGAGATCATGTTTTGGCTCTTTTTCTTGAACAGTGAAGAATTTGGGATTGGATCAACAATTATTAAATTCATAAATTCACTGGTCACTTTTTAATTGTCATAGTATCAGATTCTTCATTGTGGAGAAAACATGGTTCTGTTTCATTTAGGTGTGCCTGTAGGCCAAAGGGGAACATGCACAATGAATACAACCATTATTTGTCATACCTGATGTACAAGTTACATTTCTGTTACACTGAATGCAGCATTGTCAGCCTTAAACCAGTCGGCACTTGTAACTGTAACCACCAACCGTTTTAAGGGGAATGCATTAATGCTGAAATGCAGAGTAAATCCCCCGAAAAACCAAGTTGTTGGGGGTTTTTTTGTGTTTGTTTAGCGCACATAATGTAGAATGATATGAAATGATCATGACTCTAGAGATTTGAGTGATTTCTTAAACATTTTCCATCTTTCAACTACAGTGAGCAATGATGCCCTGCGTGGTGCCACTCCCCAGGCCGCAGCCCAGGTGCTGCAGTGGGTGAGCTTCGCTGACTCAGAGATCATCCCTCCAGCCAGCGCATGGGTCTTCCCCACTCTGGGAATTATGCAGTTCAACAAGCAGGTTTGCAGCTCAGCATTTTCTGGTCAAGCTAAAGACTTTAAGTGTGATTTGGTTGCTGTGGGGGAAGATTAGTGGCAGTTTCAGTTGGCCACAGTGCAGCACCCTGTAGTTGAGACTTGGCATGTGACCATGTAGAAGAGTTTTAAATATTGTCTAATCCTGCATAGTAATTCTTCTCTCGAACTGTCCAGGCCACAGAGCAGGCCAAGGAAGACATAAAGAGGGCCCTTTCACTGCTGAACCAACACCTGAACACTCGTACCTTCCTGGTGGGAGAGAGAATCAGCCTGGCTGACATCACCGTGGCCTGCTCCATGCTCTGGCTTTACAAACAGGTTTGACATACACACAGGAAATAAAGGTTGCACAAAGATGCACACTATGTTCATTCATTTTAACACTACTTGGAGCAACACTTAATCTCTTGATATTTGAGTCAACATCCTCTCCAGAAGGCCCTTACACCTCTCTGTCCCCTGTAGGTCCTTGAGCCTTCTTTCCGTCAGCCTTACACCAACGTGACTCGCTGGTTTGTCACCTGTGTCAACCAGCCCCAGTTCAAGGCTGTCCTTGGAGAGGTTAAGCTGTGTGAAAAGATGGCCCAGTTTGATGGTGAGTAACCAGCAATGAGATCAGATGACACACACAGTGCATGCGGTGGACTGCTGGTGCATGCAATTTAAAGGATAAAATTAGATGCATACTTTGTGTCAGAATTTTCAATAGTTTAGCTGGTGTGTCCCAAATCACATGTAACTAAATTGCTTTCAGGATGTTGTAAATTGTTTAAACAATAGCTTATGTTGCTGCTTTTTCTCACTTTTGGAAAGGGTTTGTTCTAATTAAATATCTACCCCCGAAACTCAAGTAAACTTTGCAGAGTTGTATTTGTAAATATGAGGAAATTAAAGGGTTGGCTAAAGTATTGCACTAAAAGAACTAGCTGTCATTTGACAAACACATTTTCTATTATTTGTGGTTTACAATAATTTAAATGAGTTACTGAATGACTTTCTGGGACAGAAATCCCTTTTAAACAGATGTCAAATTGCTGGAAATACTTGGCAATTCATCTCCCAAACTCCTAGCCAGAGTGGTGCTAGAGTGTGTCAACCAAAGCCAGATCATGGAACCTTTAACAGAAAACATGTTGTTCATTGTTATGTTCTCTTACTTCAGCCAAGAAGTTTGCTGAGATGCAGCCCAAGAAAGAGACCCCCCCTAAGAAAGAGAAGGCAGGCAAAGAGGCAGCCAAGCCCCAGGAGAAGAAAGAAAAGAAAAAGGAAGAGAAGAAGCCCGCCCCAGAAGAGGAGATGGATGACTGTGATGCCGTTTTGGCTTCTGAGCCCAAAACCAAGGACCCCTTTGCACACCTGGCAAAGAGGTAGAAAGATCTTTGTGCTTTCAGTGTATTAAGTGTTGGTTAAACATTGAGTTGCTCACAGTGCAAGCTGTGTGGTCTGCAGAATGTGTTTTGGGCAGTCACAGGGGTGTTCACCAACCACAAACATCCCCTCTTTGGGGAAAACAAGTGGTCCCCTGTCATTGGGCAAGGCAGTGTCCATCATGGCACCAAGTCTTAATCTGACGGGGGAAGAGAAAGTTCAGACCATGTTCATCCCAGCCAACTCTGTTTAGTGAGTAAGAGGCTGGTTCATGCAATGGGCACAAATCAAATCTTGATCTACAGTTTATTGTGGTATGGAAACCTAAATCTGTAACATGCATTAGGTTATGTACGCAGTCTGGCAGCAACTGTCCCTGAATTCTTTTTAGTGTTTCAAACACAAAAGGAAGGGGGTCAAGTTAGTGTTCTGGGGTAATAAAGAAACTAGTTACACTAAACATGTGTCCTTTTTGACACTCCACATCTTGTCTTTCTCCGTTAATATGACCAGATCTTTCTTCCTTTCTTTCTTAGCCCATTTGTCATGGACGAGTTCAAGAGAAAGTATTCAAACGAGGACACCCTGACAGTAGCCATTCCCCACTTCTGGGAGAACTTTGACCGGGAGGGGTACTCAATCTGGTACTGCCAGTACAAATACCCCGAGGAGCTTACACTTACCTTCAAGAGCTGCAACCTTATCACAGGTGAGACTTGGCAACAGCCGCTTTACCCAACACCTTGATCTATGAAAGAATTACTTCAGGGGTTGTGTAGTTTACAGAAGTTATTTTCCCCCACTTGTTTTTCTGTGGCAATGTAGTGGCTTAGTGGTTGGAAAGAAAGTGATTAAAGGAATTTTGGGCTTGGTCCTTCACATGTGGCAGTTCTCCAGTTCATGTGTTGGCCCAAGTTTCCTCCATTTGTCCTGGTTGGCTCAAATTGTTCCAGGGCGCCACAATATTGAATATGATTAAGAGAATTTGTAGGCTTCGAGGACTACTTCCTGTTGGCATTGA